TGTGTGTGTGTGTGTGTGTGTGTGTGTGTGTGTGTGTGTAGAAGTATCTTTGTTTTGAAGCTCCTTTCATAAGAGAAAGCAGAATGACCAGTGGATATAGGAAAATAATAAAACTACAAAAGATGCTAACTAAAGAAGAAATGCAACTGAAATAGTATAAATTTGCCAAGTCACAAAGGCCAGCTTTTCCACATTAACACTTTTTGAGAATTTACCTTTTACTTTTATTAGTAAACGTCAATATGAATCCGCATGTACAAATGCTGCCATCTGTTGGCCAAATCCAGGAATTACAGTAGCCCTGCTAAATTCTGTTGGCATTGTAATGGTGATATTTCCCAAGCATCTATTCACTTCAACGTAATTACGTTGGACATCTACTTGGAAACTCCAGTAGCATAAGTTGAAACTGGGTTTATATGGAGGCAAGATAAGAACCCTCGGGTGATGGGAGGGCAGGGACTTGGGTGACTTTCTCCATTCAGTTCCATGAGGAACCGGGTGAATCTTGTGAGATAAATTTCTCAGCGAAAAATCTCTTCTTCTGGTTTAAACTGCAGAGTGGGATGCAGTCGCGGATTTCAGGTCCTCCTGACAGAAAGAAGCCATTCACGTTTCCCTTGTCTTCGGACCTAATTACTCCTATGATCTCTCTGGAGAATGTGCAGAGCCATGTGGTGCAAAAGTACCTATCAGAGAACCAAGGAGGCCTGCTTGCCAGATGTGTGCCGCTTGAGCTGCTAAAGGAAAGTGTCTTCAGTTGCTAGGTTGGTTTGAAAGCTCATTCTCCCCTGTTAGGAGTAAGGACAGCAAGAATATGGGGCTTCCTGGGAAGGAAAAACTTGCAATAAAAAAGCAAGGGGAAGAAAGGGTCGCTAAGCTACACTCTGTCTGCCTCACAACCTAACCAAGGCTCAGGCATGAACGTGAATTTGCGTAAACTCCACTTTCTGGTTTCCATTTTCTACTAACTTTTCTTTTTCTAAGGCAAAACGTATTGCTATTTCACAGGTGCATGTGTGTAAAGACATAAAAGGAAAGCGAGACTCCCCATGTCTTGTCAATTTCCTAGCTTATGACAAAGAAAAGAAAGCTGAGCTGTATGCCACAAATGCATTGGGACGTGTGTGCCTCTTTCCTACAATATTAATAGAAAACATTTGCTCTTTGTCACACTGAGAACAGTTATTGCCTAACTCTCCCGTTAAAATGGGCTTTCCAACATCACTTCCCGTGGCAGTTTTTCTTTTATTAAGAAGTCACTCCTGCCCCCTTTTTGTTAGTGACTGAATTCAATTTGAATTTCAACTTCTCTGTCTAGTTACAGTCCCCTCTCCACTTTTCCTCACCTTCTTTTTTGAAACCAAAGCCCAGGATCCTCCTCACAGATAGACCCTGTTCTTTTGTTAACTGCCTTTGTTCACTTTCTAAGATACCTAACTAAAGATAAACGTAGAGGCTCACACTTCCTTTCTCTGGTTGTGACAGCTGCTTGGAATACGGGTATCTGACAGAAGATAGATTTGCAAGCCCCCCTTCCCTGACCCATCCCACTTCTCACATATAAACATGAAGCTAGGGAATCATTTAGCAAGAACCGAGAGAATTCTGAGTTATCATTTCCTTCCCACTTTGCGCTTGCAGCAACCAACAGCAAACGATGACTTATTAATACTGACAAATGAAAAAAAAAGCTAGAGAAAAAGTGCTGGACAGAAGAGTAAACAGCAAACCTAGCTGACCTTTCCCTGAGATTCTGGGCATGAGCGATAATCGAAATCAATAAGGACCGTCTAGAGGACTGCGTTTACTCTGGCTCCGGCCCACCTATGGTGTTACTTACGTCGTTATTGAAGAATATTTTCATTAATTCTATCTTTGAAATGCTGACATTTTCTTTAATTAAAAGTTTAGTTCTATTGAGTTGGCACGTACAGCACAATATTGGAAGATCTGGGGCTACTGCTCCCTTCTGTCATCGTGAGTGTGGTCACGGGACCCAGGTCCCTGCTCAAGCGAAGGGATTGTTGGACTGCTGAGTCTGACACTCTGCCATTTGCCTCCCACTTTGCAATTTTGTTATGATGTGAAATTTTACTTTTGGTTTTCTCTTCTGGAGAATGCATGACAATAACTAGAGATGACTTTTCCTCATCCTTCCCCTCCTCTCTCTCCTCCCCCACCATCTTCCTTCTTTTTATGTTCAGACCAGAAATATATATATATATATACATATATACATATATATATATACATACATATATATATATATATATATGTATATATATATATATATATATAATTTTACCTAAAATAGATGTTTGGGTTTTTTCTCAATAACTTTGGAAATAAACTCCAAAGTTATCACGTGTTTAAGAGAATAAGTAATTTAATAGTTTATTGGTTTGAGTCTGAAATAAGATAAAATTGAAACTGGCAGAACCTAGTTCTACTGTGGGCTGCAAGCACAGGTGATGGTTGTTACAGAAGTTTAGTTTTGTCTTCAGATTACATAAAGGCCATTTTAAATTAGGATGACTGATTCTTTTAAAGGCTTGAATTTCATGTTGGTAACAAACGTTCTTTTGGTGGCATGTTTAATATTGATACTGGTTGCTGTTCTTCAAGTGACTGATAATTTTTCTTTTATTGTTTCATCATTTCATAAATGCATATAATGTTTTTGGTTAGATCCATTCCTCACTTCCTCAGTTCCAAAGGTTTTGGAACTTGAGTTTTATCTTTGTAACTGAGAATGGGCCAGAGCAAATACAGTCCTCACCATCTTTTTCTCCCAATTTCATGTATTTTTTTTAAAACCCATCAAATCAACTGAGTACTGTCAGTACGTGCATGCGTATAGGACTGTCTGCCAGAGCAGGAGTAACCTATCAGGGACTGCAACCTGAGGAGAACTGACTCTCCCTCATCCAGCAGCCATAAGTTGCCAATGGTTCCTCAGCTGGCCTGAGACTTCATGAGCCCCCC